CCCCCCCCCCCCCCTTTTTTTTTTGCTGATTGATGATTGCCACTAACTGTGTATTTCCCTGTATGACTCACATACCGTCATTCCAAGCATCCACAATAGCAAACAACAACAATAACAACAACAAGAGTAAAAGAAGAAAGTGTAAACAGTACAGGGCTAAGGAATACTGGAATCTCACTGTGGTAAGGAGAAAGAAGAAATGAATGAATGAATGAATACACGTGAAATAAATAAATAAAAATTCCCTTTACAAGAGAAAATCTCTCTCTGTCTGTGTATGTGTATGAAAAGGAGTTGCAGTTGATATTATTATCTGCAGACACAATTTATTCTGAAGGCGTCAGCAGTACCAATAGAAACTCCTTTTGCAGTAATTTCCTCTGTCACTGTTGTTTGCAATTCAGCTGGGAGACAAAATACTTGCTAAGCATCGTTTTAATAACTTTTTTTTTTCACTTTACTTTACTTGCTTTGAAATAATGTTTTCTGTCTTTTCTTTCTTTCTCATGAATTCCCCGCATCTTCTTCTCTTTGGGGCCTATTCTTTTTTTTTGTTTTTGACCCTGTCGCACTCCACTCCGTTTTCATAGAGAAAGTGCAGTATATTCTTCTCGGTTTCTCGGATTTCTCTCCCGAAACTCCATCCCATGCAGGAATGTTTTTTTTTTTTTTCTTCCTTGTTTGTTTGTTTGTTTGTTTGTTCGTTTGTCTTTTTTTTTTTTCTTCTACTGTCTTTCTTTCCCTAATGTTTTCTTGTTGTTGTTGTTGTTCTTCTTCCTTCTTCTTTGCTTGCATATATTATTCCTCGAGGGTACTTTTCTTTTCCATCTCTTTTCGTAAAATCCTCTTGTCTTTACTCTTTCCTTCCCACGCATCCACGCGTAGATATCAATTCTCCTACATGTGATCCCCCACAACATGTGAGGTGCGAATAACATCGGCATATGTCATTGATCCTACTTTATCCTGATCTCTCTCTTTTTTCTCTTTCTGTTGTTGTTGTTGTCGTCCCTCACCGTTGCCTCTATTCTCCTCGCTGCCCGATAACTGACTGCTCCCCCCGCTAGGCGTCAGCGACGGTGGTGATTCATCGTCGTTGCCAGACATCGTAAACTCTAGCGCGGCCCCATACACATTCCCATCCTCATTTTTATTATTAACTTCATTAGGTTCACTGTTCTTTCTGTCCCGCCCTTTTTGTGGCGGTTCTCCCCGTTCCTGTTGTTGTTGTTGTTGTTTCTCTTGCGATGGTAGTGGTGGTGGTGTGGTGGTGTTGGGTGAAGCAATGGCACTGCTGCCGCCGCCGCTGACATCGCCGTTGCGTAACTTCAAATGGCGGTTTGCCCAAAAACGAATGCGATGCGGCGGATCCCGCAGAAGTGACGGCGGTGGCACAACTGCATTCGCGTCGTTTTCTTCGTACATTGGACTTTCAACATAAATACCCCCCTTGTATGGATCACGTTGCATTCGGCGGCGGCAGCAGTTGTGACTACTGTCATTACTGTCATTATACATGTTAAGAGAGTTGCTGTTGTGGTTGTTATCATAATTGTTGTTGGGCCGCAGAGTTCCGTGGTCTACGCCCATAGCAGCGTCTATTGGGAGAAGGACATGACTAGAGAATCCCTGCGCTGCGGCCCCGCACGGTGTGTTGAACTCATCTTCCAAACTGAACGTGTCGGCCCCCACCGGGCACGGCGGGCCCACGCCAGCGGCCGCGGAAGTGCCGCCGTAGAGACTGGAGGAAGTCCGTGCGGCGGGCGTGGGGAGTGGGCGCTGGCAGGCATTGCGGTGATTGTTGGCCGCGAGGGCAGCGGCAGCGGCGGTATTCATCATGTACTCTTGCATCATGAAAGAGATCTCTCGACTCAATTGTCCGGCGGGAATTTCATTTTGTACACCACTGCGAAGATTCCGCACTGCGCCTCTTGGAGGCGGCAACATACTTCCACGTGTTTGTGGAGAAGTGAACTGAAATGTGTTCCCACTCCTTGGTAGTGTTGACCGCATGGGTTTACTGTGTGAGTGTGGGGTTCTATCAGCGCGAATGGGATCAATGTACGTGTCAATAGGAGAGACAGTTGGAACACAGCCGGTATTCGTCGCAGCGGCAACAACGGCAGCAGCAGCAGCAGCAGCATTCGTCGTGCCAGTTGCACTAGTCATAATAGCATTACTACTACCACTAGCCATAGTCTTACCAGTACCACCAACACCGACAGCAGCAAGAGAAGTAGAAGTGTTATTGGGCGTATGGGCACTAGCAGCCATACCAGATAAATGAAGACGAGGATTGCCTCTCATTCCCAAATGAAGTGTAGAAGCATCTGGATGTGTGTGACGACGCTCTTGTGTGGAATGCGGTTGTTTTTCACCTCCCACACGCATCTTTACTTGCACAGAGTGACATTCACCAAGTGACTTTCCCTGTAACTCTATAAATGCCGACTTCGCACTGCGAGGATTCTCAAAAGTAACGAAAATAGATTCTGATGAGGCACGGTAAAAATGAAAAATAGCATGCTGTCCTACCGCTTGTTGAACATCTTTCAAAGTTACATTCTTATCAACACTCTGGATGTGCAAAGTGCAGCGGGAACGGGAGGAAGCATGTGGTGAGGGACCAAATCGAGTTTCCGTCGCTGTTGAGATTGTCTCTACTTTTTGTGATCGTTGTCCTGATGCTACTAACATGCGTGTACTCCTCACATCATTTACTCCAAAGGGTATAAGAGCATGTACAGCAGGAATACTTAATAAATATGAGGCTGACACTGTGAGACGATCATCCATGGCTGCCAGTATGGCCGCTGGTGAATCGGGACTATCATCACTCTTGTTATTTTTATCCTTATTTTGCATTGCAGATGCATGGCCGCGAAGATTTTCAAAGGAGAGAAGATCCTCCAACACACTGCGGAGGCTCTCAAGTGTTATTTCATCGTGTAAAGGGAATCCATCCTCAATCGGCCGAGGTGGTTCCAACACCGAGCTAGCCAGAGTCGTTCCTTCTTCTGCTGGTGTTGGTGTTGTGATTGGCGTTGGTGGCGCTGCCGTCTCCATCTTGTGTTCGCTTTTGTTTTGTTTTTTTTTTTCCTTTTTCTCCTTTTTTTTTGATGTTTCTGTTGATGAATGGCTTGTCAAGAGCCTTCTTCTTTTCTTCTTCTATTTTGCTCTATTTCTCGTTATTGAATATCTTCGCCTATGTGCGACTCCTTCTTTCACTGGTCTGTTTAGAATGGTATGTCACTGTTGGTTTTTCCCTTCTCACTCACAGACTCACCTACAATTAATTGCTGTAGGTAGTTATTTATATATGTGAATGTATATATATAGCGAAGAAACAAAAAAAAAGAAAAAAAGTGGGAACTCTTTTTTTTTTTTTTGAGTTTTCCCACACTAACCCCTCTTTTTCGTTATTTGTTTTTGTTTTTTTCTACTTTCCTTCCTTACTCTTAGCGTAGTCGTATAACCTTCGCTTTCCTTTCTTTTTTCTTTTTTTGTTGACCTCTTGTTCTTTGATATTTTTTTTCTTCTTTTCCTTTTTGTATTTGAATAACCAAATTCTTTTTTATTGTCTTTTTTTTTCCTATTGGATTTGTTTGTTTTGTCCTTACTTATTTGAACTTCTGCGTGAACCGTACTGATACACGAAACACGATACTACTCAACTCTGTCGATGTAAAAAGAAAAAAAAAAAGAAAAGTAAAAAAGAAAAAAGGGAAGATAAGAGAGACAAACTCTTCAAACAATAAATATCATCATTAACAGCAATAGCAGTAACTATTAGTATTAATAGTAATAGAAACCTCCATGCATAAGAAGGCGACACAGCACGAGTGAATCATGTTGTGCGAAGTGAATCTCCGTGTGTGTATATGAGTGAATGAGTGAAAGTACGTGAGAGATAAAGAGAAACGAGAGAGAGAGGAAGCGTAAAAAAAAAAAAAGAAAAGAAAAAAAAAAAGAATGTGGGGACTTGAGGGAATACAAGAAGATTTTCAAAAAAAGAAAAAAAAAACAAATGCATCTTGGTTTATCTATACTGAGATAAATAAACACATGATAATTCACGCAGGAAAAATCATTTAAACATTTATTTTTTTTTTTTTTTTTTTTTTTTTTTTTTTTTTTTTT